GCCAGAGGAGGAGACTGGGATGGAAATCAGCGGGAGGCGTCTTAATGAAGACATAAAGTGATCCAACTTACTGACCAACTCACCCAATCCAATCCAATCCAATCCAGCCAAGCAGAGAGATGCATCCAACCCAAATGCCAACTGCAATTCCATTTCACTTTCGGTTTTTGCGCAATCGGACAAAAATTAATGCCAAACACAACATAAACAAAAAAATCATCAAAATGCCAATTGTAAAATCGATTCGAATGCAAAATGCCCAAAAGAAGCCGGGTCTGGGCCAGGGCAATTGCATAAACAGCACGGCTCAAAGGTAAACGAACGAGACAAAAGCCGGGAAATACACAAATAAATACAGCTCGGCAAAGCACAAACAAAAAACTGAACGGAAATCGATTTTTGGCTATTTTTCGCAAGCCTTTTATTTTTGCCCATGCAACAATTGAGCACAACAAAAACCCTTAGCCATTGTAGCTCCCACATAAATGTTTTTCAATGTGGCGTTCAAGCGATGATAACGATGTTGTACCCCTTTCACAAGCAACAATATGCAAATAAAATATATAATATCAGGGGATCCCGAAATTGCAGGCATTTACAAGTTAAGAAATGGGCTATATTGATTGGTACTTTATGTAATTAAAGGAAAATAACAAAAGATTTCATTTAGTATAATATATGTGTAACTTTAATTGATATTTATGTGCTTTAATTTTCTTTAGGAATTTAACAACAACGACTTTGTACCCCTTTCACAAACAACAATATGCGAAATAAAATATATAATATCAGGGGATCCCGAAATTGCAGGCACTTACAAGTTAAGAAATGGGCTATATTGATTGGTACACTAAAATGTAACACCAGTTTACAAAAAAAAATTGATGAAATACGCCTTTCAGGAAACCTTTGTTTTCCGGTAAGATACATCTCCCTGATTAAGAAAAGGGCACTTAAAATTTTTTCTATGGTACCAATTTTTTTTTAAGTGTAAAAAACGTTTTTCGCACTTTTTTATTTTCTAACTCGAGTTGTGATAAACCGAATTCGGTCATTAAGGACTCATTTTACAGGTAATAGAATGCCCTTTAACTTTCTTATACACATCATTAAGTTCCATTCATTAGTTCAAAAGCTACACTTCGTCAAAGTTGAAAAATTTGGAAAAAAATCAAAAACGCTGGCATAAATGGCTTCTTTAAAAATACACGCGTAAAAACCGAAATTAGTTTTATGTTGTTTTCTTGAAGGCTGAACCATAACGGAGAATATGCGCCATAGATCACGACAATCCGTTGGTAAATCGATTTTTAACAGATTTTTAAACGTATATACCCAAGTTCAGTATTCGGGAGCAGCGGCCGTTAAACGTTATTTTAAATTTTCAGTGTTGGGGAACGTAAGAATTTGGTGCAAGTTGTTATGCATAACGTCAGTTTCCTTGCTATTAGCGCTGGGCAAGCTAAAAAGTATGCGATTGCAGTTACGAGGAAATCATTTTTATATATTTTTAGCAAGGAAACTGACGTTATGCATAACAACTTGCACCAAATTCTTACGTTCCCCAACACTGAAAATTTAAAATAACGTTTAACGGCCGCTGCTCCCGAATACTGAACTTGGGTATATACGTTTAAAAATCTGTTAAAAATCGATTTACCAACGGATTGTCGTGATCTATGGCGCATATTCTCCGTTATGGTTCAGCCTTCAAGAAAACAACATAAAACTAATTTCGGTTTTTACGCGTGTATTTTTAAAGAAGCCATTTATGCCAGCGTTTTTGATTTTTTTCCAAATTTTTCAAATTTGACGAAGTGTAGCTTTTGAACTAATGAATGGAACTTAATGATGTGTATAAGAAAGTTAAAGGGCATTCTATTACCTGTAAAATGAGTCCTTAATGACCGAATTCGGTTTATCACAACTCGAGTTAGAAAATAAAAAAGTGCGAAAAACGTTTTTTACACTTAAAAAAAAATTGGTACCATAGAAAAAATTTTAAGTGCCCTTTTCTTAATCAGGGAGATGTATCTTACCGGAAAACAAAGGTTTCCTGAAAGGCGTATTTCATCAATTTTCTTTTGTAAACTGGTGTAACAGGCACTTTATGCAATTAAAGGAGAATAACCAAAGATTTAATTTAGTATAATATATGTGAAACTTTTAATGATACTTATGTGCTTTCAGTTTCTTCAGGAATTTAAGCGATGATAACGACTATGTACACCTTTCACAAAAAACAATTTGCAAAATAAAATATGTAATATCCGGGAAAGTGGGGATCCCGAAAATTGCATTTAAGTAAAGAAATGCTCTATGCTTTATTGGTACAACAAAATGTAAAAGGCACATACATATGTATTTAAAGGAAAATAAAAAAAGATTTCTTATAGTATAATATCTGCGGTACTTTAAAAGATATTTTAACGATATTTAACGATAACGACATTTAAATCAAATTGTTTTATACAAAATAAGCTTATTAAATATCTTTTCCACCATGGTCGTGTGATATCATCATTTATAAACTTAAAAAACGCAATGAATTTGGTGTGTGGGCTACAAAATTCGAGGAAAATCAATCAATTTACGAGAAATCCGAGCAGAATAAATTCCAAAAGAGATCAAAATTTTCATAATTCTGTAGGCCCATTTTTACAATGATTGAACCACGTTTCCAAGACGCTGCCCACATGCAAATTATTATTGTTTATTCGTTGCAAAACCATTTTTTGTGTGTGACAACCAACCGCCAGCGACAGCTTGATAAGCGGTTCTTGCCACGATTGCGTGGGCTGCGGCTTGTCGGCATTTTGTGAATGAACATTTCGTAGTCTTGTGGCGTTGCCACCATGCCAGCACCACTTTAGTGGCTTATAAGCCAGCAATCCACTCGCGGGCCAAAACACGCGAAGCTGTCATTACGTTGACCAGGCCCAAACCGTTCGCGTTGGCGTGGAAGTTGTATTTTGTGCTGGCGTTGGGAGAGAGCTCAGCTGGTCCTAATCTCAGTTTGGGTATCGGGTATATTATGAATGGGCGAACTAAGCAAAGGTGCAGAGAAGTTAGTCTGGTTTGTTATCGTTCAGGAAGAAAAAATGACAAACAGCTTTTTTCATAACGTTACCGAACTTGCATAAAACTCTTTTCTACGACAATCAATTAATGTAGAAACCTATGTTTAAAATACTTTTATTTATGCAACCAGAAAAAAAAACTCTAAAATAGATTTCTCGATCTTAAAAGTACGCTAAGTTATAATCTGAAATTTTCAAAATCAGGAAAAGGTCTTCTCGGTTTGTAAGACTGCTTTCTTCTCAAAAAAACAAATCAAGACCACGACTGCTTTCTTCTCAAAAAAACAAATCAAGACCACGACTGCTTTCTTCTCAAAAAAAACAAATCAAGACCACGACTGCTTTCTTCTCAAAAAAGCACTTTCGTCTTGATTTCAAGAACGTTTCTTCTCGAAAAAGTGAGAAAACGAACTCACAAATTGAGAAGATTTAACAATTGCTTCTTTCCGTTATGGGTGCAATACCATATAGTACAATATATTAATTTAAAAGAAAGAAGTCGTTAAGTTCTTTGAAAATCTACCATTTGTGTTAATACTACTACTATTTTTGTTTAAGATTTAAAATGAACCCACATTTAAACTCCAAATGCAGCAAACCCCGAGCAAAGAGAACCCCGATCCCAAAATCGTTCCCGCCAGTACATTGTATACAAAACACTTTCCAGTTTCTGGCAGACATCGAAATCGAGTCTGTGCACAGAGGAAGCTGTGCACCGAGTGCAATGTACGTGGTGCATCCATGCACACCACAGCGTCTCCATGTGTATCCATTTATCTTGGCAAGCTGACTCTCAGCCGGGCAGGCAGTGAGCTAGACACCTAAAAACCCACAATTTATGCCAGTCAGAGCAGCGGCGAACTCTCGGAAAACTGGAAAAGTTCACACACAGTGACGGGAAGACCCACACCTAGGCAAACAGTACACAGCAAAGAGGCAAGCGTGTGGCTGGCATTATAAACTCTTGATCTTTCCAATAGCCTACAAAGGCGGCCCACACGAACCGACTCCTCAGCTGGTTCACAGCCCCATTCATGCTGCAATTTTGTTGCTGCTGCTCGATAATGCCCCCAAAGATTCCCAGCAGCAAAAGCTAGAAAAAGGAAGGACGGGGGGATGGCCAAAACGGGTTCAGAGCCATCCCGTCGCCGCGTCCTACATTGCAAAGATTTTGGGTTGGCGAACAAAGCCACAGCCTCCAGAAAGAGCCGTTTCTTATGCTAAATCGCAGAGCCTGCGAAGCAGAAGTTCGCACTGATTGATTTTCTATGAGATCTGACTTACTATATATGAGAGTTGCCGGCGGCCATAATTTTGGTCTTGGCCAGATGATGTTGACTTTGGCGAATTGCCCGGAGGGGAGGCCGCAAAATCGTGCGCCTCTAATTTGCACCTAAAGACGGCTTTTGTTTCTGGCTTTTTGGGTTTAGAAAGTAGAAAATTATTCGCCGGGAATATGAAATGAAAGTGTTCCGAGGGTATCCCTCCCGCTCGAAAGTTTTTGCAAGTACTCAAGAAATAATTCCCGTGAATTGGCAAATCGATTGGTTCGATTTGAAGCCATCGAAACTTATGCCAATCATCATCGGGTAATCCAATAACCGGCAGTTGCGCATTGATTTGCATATTCCCCACCTAACAATGCAAGTCGTGACCCCAAAAGAAAATCCATCCGACTCCCTGACTGGGCGGTAGACGAGTATATATGTAGGTAGTATACCAATTCTCATTATTCTATCCGTCGTTACCCAAGAAGTTACTTGCAACACGCTGCCATCCGATATGGAAACCGCAACATAAACTCCAGTTGCCATCAACGCGTGCCACCAACCACAAAACAAAACGGAGAAATAAAAAATATGTACGCAGAATACAGATATGGCAAAGAGTTCCGATGACGTCAGGCCCAACATAGTTGGATTAATTTGGGAAGAAAATCGAGGTTTATTAGTAATCATCTAAAAATATAACTTTTCTCAAAATTAAAATAAATGAAAGGAACTTTTCGTAGATTGGCTTTCTGGACTTCCATAAAAAAATCTTTGTAACAATTTATATAGTCGACGTAATCAGTGGATTAATTATTATAAATAATCCATTGTCATAAACGCCCTTCAATTACATCCACTATTTTAACTTTAAAAGTTCTCCTCTGATCTCTACGCAAATAGAATTTGGACGTGGAATGTTCTTCTCATCGAAAGCCTGTAGCTTTATGACCATCTTATGACGTCCTCGAAGAGTAGGGCCATGAACATTTTCAATTTTAAGCCTTAAATCGAAGGGCTCGTGTTCCAAAACGGTCTGGAAAAAAGATAAGCCAGGAGATTATAAACAGCCTGATTCCTTTTCACTGTGCTCGGAGAAAACTTTATAATTTCCATTCTAATTGCACTTACACCTGGCTCTCTAAGACACTTCTTTGCCACTTCGTGCTGATTGGATACGTATTGTGTCCAGTACTTGTACCAGTACTGATTCTTGTCGTACATGATGGGGCAAAAGTCCTGGTTGGATATGCTGAAGATAGTGGGCTCCCAGGTTCCGCGGTTGAAGTGCAACAAATCAACCCTAGCCTGCAAGGATGCGGAACTTTGGGGCTACTTTTAAAGATTATTCGAATGGGGGTGACTTTACTGCAATCCGATCGGTGGGCCGCACATCCCAGATAAGGGTGGCGTTGCCGGAGAGGTGGAGTATATCAGATTCATGTTCGATCACAAAATCGTCCAAGTTTACTGCCTGACGAGCGTTGATAGACCCGGGTGGACCATCTGTACAAGGCGCAAAAATGTCCGGATCCTCGAGCATCAGTTCGTAGTCCACGGCCCAGGAACTGGTCACCCCAAGAATGAGCAGCATCAGAGTTCTCATGATGATTACAGCACCAACAATGTACTTTCAGACGTACGTAAGCACGTACTTTATAGCTACTGCCGATTGAGAATTTTTTTTTAATCCATAACACTTATATAACGTGTTTTTCTTCTCCTATCATAAAGATCGTACATCCACGCGACATGCAACATATTAACATGTACCATGTTTGTCACAAATTGCTAGACATTGACATTGAAATTGGGAAAACAATGTCAAATCAATTAGTAGCTTCAAGAAACACTTCCATGGGCCCAATGGAAATATAAGTGTACCCATCACCGGGCAGATTTCTCGAGTGCCGGCTAACATTTATCGGACAGATAAAGCCCCTGCTAAGAAAATTGAGTTCTCTTGTACGTCAATGTGAGAGCTAACTCGGATTCTTTTCTGATGCTTCCAAACATAAACAAAACCTAAAGCAATTATCAAAGCAAGCCCTCTGTTTTCGCTAAACACCTAACAGGGAGAACTTTATATGATCTTTTCATTTAACTCGGACAGGCTATCAGTTATTAGAGGCTATGCCAGGGACTCAAGAATCAGGCCCTGAAAATCATAAACGAATTTCATATTTCATATTGCGAGTTTCGAATCATTTCTTATATAATTGTTATTAGCAGACAGTCTCAATAAGGAATAATTATCTGTTTATTCAAGTTAAGTAAACTATGAATAATAAAATTATCTTTAAACATAAGCAGACCTCCAGCATCGTGTTATCGTATCGCATCGTATTACTTTATCTTCTCGACCTCTCCCCTGATTTCGAAGCATATGGAAGTCCGTCTCGGAACGTCCTTCTCGTCGAAAGCTTCAAAGGTGGAAACGATCTTGTAACGACCCTGGAAAGTGGCGCCTCGAATGTCCGTTAGGCGCAGCTGCAAATCAAATGGCTTGTGCATCAGCACGGTCTAAAATGGGGAGCCATGTTAAAAAGGATAGTTAAGCGAGGTCAATTTGAGGGCCAGCTCACACCACGCGTCTTGAAGCACTTCTGCTGGACCTCCTCGCGGTTCGATATGTATTTGGTCCAGTATTTGAACCATGACTGATTCTCGTCGAACATCGCAGCACAAAAGTCCGGCGTGGCCAAGCTAAATAGGGTCGGTTCCCAGCTGCCGCGGTTGTAGTGCATCACCGTAAACCTGCCCTAAAATGGAACTGCTTATTCTTCAGTGAATCTCGTTTTCAGAAAGACTGAATTTACGGAAATGCGATCGCTGGACTCCACGTCCCAGTTGGCGGTGATATTCTCGGATAGATGAATAATATCGGCGTCCTGATTGATTTCCAAGTTATCCAGGTTGAATGCTTCTCTGAATCCAATGGATCCGGGCGGCCCTTCTGTGCATGGAGCGAAGATATCTGGATCCTCGAGCAACAGTTCGTAGTCCGCGCCGCGGGAACTGGCCACGATTACGATGAGCAGCAGTAGAGTTCTCAACATGATGATAGACAAACTGTTGCGATTTTGGGTTTTATATAGCCAGTACCGTCACAATTTTAAAAATGTAATTCAATTACGGATTAACACAGCTAAGCTTGTAACAAATTAAAGTGTAACCAATTAAAGCCGATCTGTAATACATATCACAAAACGTCACGAGCTTTTGATTGGCAGTGTACTGATCTAATTTGCGATAAATACACAAAGTTTCGGTATATTGCAGAAAATATATAGATGATAACATATAATTGAAAAATACTACAATTGGGTATTCCGAATATGCATATATTCATATGTTATACAGGCATATCTGTCTTGAGACTTTAAAATCCATTTACATTTCTTGATCAGTAATAAGAAAACATCAAAAACTCAAATCTCAGACATATATTTTATATTCCATAACTACTTTGCATTACTGGGCGAGACAGCGACACACCCACGACGAATAATAACAAGATAAATGGGTATACATGCCTCAATTATATCATAACTTGTGAATCACAAATGCGGTTTCAAATTCATTAAAATTAATTGCCCTTTGATTGCTGTAGTCGCTCAAATTAAACATGCAGAGCACTCGGCACAGTTTGAACCTCCACGTGTCAACTACTACGAAGTCAGCTTGCCACAGCAGTCAATCCACAGCAACAGAGGGAATAGCATCAAGAATTGTTCCCGCAAAGTTATTTACGGAATAATGCAAAGTAATTAATACTACTAAGTCGACAATTCTCATGCTCTCCAATTGTTTGTGGAGCTCGAAGGGGAATGCATTTCGCATTCTTGTCCCATCTCAGATTTTATTGTCTGCGTGTGGGAGGAGGCTGACGAACGGATTGAATTGCAATAGGGACCTGCGTCATTCTGTCTCTAAGCATCTGTAAATAATCCTGAATCAAGATGTTGGAAAAATATGTGTTTCCTATGTCGAATTCATTTTTAGCGTTTAACGTTTCATGCCCATATCATTTTTTTTATACTCTTAGCATTTTTAAAACAACGTTAAGAGTTCAGTCCTGATAAATAAATACAATAGTTCGCAAAGCGAAAGGACCTTGCACCAGATATAAAATGCCTGATGGCACCATGCTCGCATCCTGTTCGGAATAAACTTTCAACTACATACATCTAGAATGCTCAGTGAATTACCATTTCCAGTTGAGATTCAGCCTTGAATATGGCTTTCAGACATTTTATATGCGCAAACAATACAGACGAGGGGGAGATAGAGAAAACCCGCGATACATTGTCATAGAAATGGAAACAGCTGTGAATGCTGCCATAAATAAAAACTCATTTGGTCTTGTCGATGGTATTCGGCCATATAGTGAGTCGTCTATAGATACACAAAACATGAAATTTGACTTTCGTCTAAAGGCCCACACAAGCACAATTTAAACGCTTAGCAGCTGTATTTAGAATCAAAAAAAGAAAACAATTAAAGAATATAAAAACGAAAAAAAAAAATTTCGCCCAACGTGGGGCTCGAACCCACGACCCTGAGATTAAGAGTCTCATGCTCTACCGACTGAGCTAGCCGGGCACTTGTGACGACAAGCGTCAAAAAGAATCGCCATTTTGTGCTTCAGGCTAAGAACACAAACGTAAAAAACGATATTATCTAAGCAAGCCAGAAATAATCAAATACCTGTTATTTAAAATTATATAAAGCTTGAACTTTTCTAGGCAAATATAGAAGCAATAAGTATAATTAAAGGGAGTTATAGTTTGTAGGGAAGTTTGGTTGTTATTATTTAGTCTTAAGTTTCGACCAGACGATCAGACAAATAACAAAAAAATACAAGCGAAAATTGTAAAACAAAATATTACATAAAGATTTTTATTTCGTAAGCATTTTTATTGAAGTGAGCTCAATAAAAAAGCATAATTAAAACATGTCAATTAGTACCCCTTAATACTTTTGTACAATTTATAGAAAAGCTGGTTTTCTGGTTCACAATTAATTAGGTGAAACATTTTAATCAATTTGTTTTTATCTGAAATAAAAACCAGAGAAAACTCTAAAGGCAGATAACGTTGCATCTGAAAGTAGAGTTTCTGTCTGAATTTTGCAATTTGAGCACATAAGAATAGGCGTGGCACTAGGTTGAAATAAACTTGTGCTGCGTATGCGAAATCTATATTTAAAATCTCAACTCTTTTACTCTAACAGTTGCCAAGATCTCAGAGTATATAGAGACGGACTGATAAACAGACGGACATGGGTAGATCAACTTGTCTAGTGATCCTGATGAACCCTGATATACTTTATACGTTCGAAAACGATTCCATCTACCTTTTACATACAAAAAGAACGCACCCTTTAAAAGGGTGCAAAGTATAAAAAAGATTTCGCCCAACGTGGGGCTCGAACCCACGACCCTGAGATTAAGAGTCTCATGCTCTACCGACTGAGCTAGCCGGGCACTTATGACGATGATCAAAAAAAAAACGAAGTTTTTTGTGCATTAGGGTAAGAACACAATCTGCAAAACTGATCAAGACGGATATAAGTTGATCATTCACCTTCTATGCAAATTAATAATATCACAATACATACTGTTATTGATGTATTTAAACAATGAAGTGTTAGCCTTATTTTGGAAAAATAAATCCTGGAATCTGCATATAAGGCTGAACACTCGAGCACTTAACGTTTCCGAGATCTCCGTGCTGATAAGGATAAACAAAGAGCATTGCTAGATCGACTTGGTTAGTGTCCTGATAGAGATGTACTTTATTCAGTTCGAGACGCTTCCCTTCAAAGTTTTGTGTTTAACATCATAGTTTTTAAGAATTACAATATATCCTTTTCACTAAGAGAAACGGATATAAAAAATTATTTCGCCCAACGTGGGGCTCGAACCCACGACCCTGAGATTAAGAGTCTCATGCTCTACCGACTGAGCTAGCCGGGCAGTTGTGACGACTGCCAAAGAAATACATGGTTTGTGGTGCTTTAGGCTAAGAACACAATCTGAAAAATTGATCACGACAGAAATATGATGATCAGTACCCTCTGCATTTAATTATATGTAGGTTAAACTTCCATGCAAATTAATAATTTCACAACCTTGATTTTAATGCATTTAAGCAATGAGTTATTTTTGAAAAATAAGTCCAGAAGGATCTACCTAGTCTACTGACTGCCTCGACTGTCAAACAGCCATTACTCTGTTAACCATTTTCCAAGTAAAAATGCTTTAGATGGCTTCTCTAATGAAAGTGACGTTGCTGACTGAATATTGTGATTTTAGGACTTTAGAATGGCCCGCGGCAATCGGCTGCAGTAAACTTGACCTGCGTTGGCATCCTGGAATGTGCATGTAAAATCTCAACATTCGAACACTTATAGTTTCCAAAATATAGATCCGAGATAACAAGGAACGGTTAGTGATCGATCCTTGATCAAGATATGTACTTATACATACGGTTCGAAACGCATCCTTCTACGTGTTGTGTTAACATCATATTTTTTAATGATTTCAATATATCCTTTTTAACTAAGAGTAACGGATATAAAAAATCGTTTCGCCCAACGTGGGGCTCGAACCCACGACCCTGAGATTAAGACTGAGCTAGCCGGGCAGTTGTGACAGCTGTCAAAATCGACGTGCTTTTTGGTGCTTTAGTCTAAGAACTAAATTTGCAAAACTGATCAAGACAGAAATAATATGATCATAGCCCATCTGCATTAAATTATATATAGCTGAAACTTCTAAGCAAAATAAAAATTTCATAACCCTGATTTTAACGCATTTAAACAATGATTTATTTTGGAAAAATTATTTTTGAAAAATATATTGCAAAATAAAACCAGAAGGATCTACCTTGACTGCCTCGAATATCAAATATCCGTACCTATGTTAACCATTTGACAAGTAAAAATGCCTTCAGATGGTGTCTCTATCATCTCAACACTCGCGCACTTATAGTTTCCAAAATGTAGACCCGAGATGATAAGGACGAACGAAGAACATAGATAGATCTTTCGGTAAGTGATCCTGATTAAGATGTTCTTATACGGTTCGAAACGCATCCTACTACATTTTTTGTTAACATCATATTTTTTAACGATTACAAGATATCCTTTTTAACTAAGAGTAACGGATATAAAAAATCGTTTCGCCCAACGTGGGGCTCGAACCCACGACCCTGAGATTAAGAGTCTCATGCTCTACCGACTGAGCTAGCCGGGCAGTTGTGAGGACTGTCAAAGAAATACATGGTTTGTGGTGCCTTAGCCTAGAAAACCATCAGAAAAACTGATCAAGACAGAAATAAGATGATCATTAATCTTCTGATTTAATTATATATAGCTTAAACTTCTATGCAAATTAATATTTTCACAACCCTGATCTTAATGCATTTAAACAATGAGTAATTTTAAAAATAAACCCTATTTTTTAAGTAAATTTGTATTTATTTGTCAAATAAAACCAATGCCTTCAGATGGCGTCTCTATCCTGGAAACTGCATGTAAAATCTCAACACTCGAGCACTTTTAGTTTCCAAAATATAGGTCCGAGATGATGATAAGGACGAACGAAGAACATTGCTAGCTCAACTCGGTTTGTAATCTTGATCAAGATGTTCTTACACGGTTCGAAACACATCCTTCTACGTTTTGGGTTAACATCATTTTTTTTAATGATTACAAGATATCCTTTTTAACTAAGATTAACTAATATAACACATTCCATTTAGTTTTTCACGTTAAGAGTCACAACTAGAAATAAACACATAATCGGAAATAAAATAATTATAGGCCAGCTGGATAAAAACATATAAAAAACATATAAAAAACATATAAAAAACACAATGAAAAACTTTACTTTTTAAAGCATGTCAGATAACAAGTAAAGACAAAAGGCTTTTTAATTCCACCTAGGAATACTTTCTTGTTATCTTAACCGACCCAGGGTCTTTTTAAAATTACAAAATAAACTCATTTTTCAAACCTGCTCTTAATGCATTTGAACAATCTATAGAAAAACTGGTTTTTCGCTTCCAAATTAATTAGGTGTTAGCCTCATTTTGGGCAAATTAATCCGAAAATATTTGTATTCGTTTTGTATTCAATTGGAAATTAAAAAAAAAAAAATCGCCCAACGTGGGGCTCGAACCCACGACCCTGAGATTAAGAGTCTCATGCTCTACCGACTGAGCTAGCCGGGCAGTTGGACGTCATCACTGGCTGTCAAAATTCGCGGAACGTGAAAAAATTCTTTGAGTGTTATCTATAAATACCTAGGTGATTTCCCAGAGACAGAGGTCCTCAAAACAGATTCATAAAACTAATAATGTATTAATATTTAGTTATCGATTACCAACTTTGGTTATCGTGCTCTACTGATCGAAGGTCAGATGGTCGTAATGACCTCTATCAAAATCAGATCAATAATAAATATATGACCAACATATTCATACGCCCATTTGTGATTTTTTAAGGCAAAGATACTATCGAATTTGATCGTGTGAGCAACTAGAATCATTGGCATGCGACACAGAGCTGTATATATGGGGCATACGACACTGCAGCCTCATACCGAAAACCTTGTTAAAATGAGGGCTACGTTAAGGATTCTAGTGCTCCAAGTGTTCATCTGTTGGGCTGAAGCTATTGAATACCAGTTTGTAGTGGACGAAGACGGCATTTTGGCTCCATGTGAGGATCAACAGGGAAATCCTTCCAATATCGATGGCCTGTTGGACATGTCCACCGTTAAGGTAACCAATACAGGAAACAAAATTTCGATAGAGGGCGAACACGCTGTTGTCTGGAAAGATGTCCAGCCTGGGGACACAATAAATGTAAGTCGTTTTTAACGGAACTGCCTGTTACCTATTTAAATATTCCTTAGCTTTTTGGGCAAGTCTACCGCCAGGAAAAGGGCACCTGGCAGAAAACAATGTTCTCTGGCAGCAGCAATAACTTTTGCCATAACATGTTTGAGAAGAACCAATATTGGTATAAATTCTGGACTCAGTATATAAAGAATTCTGATGAGATCAAGAACAAGTGTTTAAACACTCTGGGCGTAAGTGAATGTATGTCTTTTAATCTAAGGCAATCGTAAATTCCTCCATTCTTAGGCCGTCTTAAAATATGAGCAATTCGAACTGGACTTAAAGGGCAATCTGAATGCTCCGAATCTAGAGGGGCGCTACAAGTTGGTAGTACAGATCGAGGCATTTGATAAGCGCAATGTGAAGCGCCCAGTGTCCATTTGCACGGAACTCCGCGGCACCGCTTCAAAGGTCTAATCGCGACAATTATATATGCATGCTGAATATACAGCGAAACACCATTAAAGTTTATAATTGAGCAATTCACAAGCAATTCAATTCACCAAGTCATGAACATTGAAGGGAATTAAAGGGATCGTTGGGGTTGTACGCGAAGAACTACCGTTCAGTTCATCATGAAGTCCAAGAACATCGAAACGAATCAAGCGGACAACTTTCACAACTGGACAGCCGAGCTGGCCCAGGAGTCCGCCATCCACGGCGTACCTTACATGGCCCGCAGGGATCTCCACTGGACCGAGCGCCTCTTCTGGATGGCCATAGTCCTGGCCTCGGCCTACTACGCCATTAACAGCTGCCTGGCCCAGTGGGATCGGTTCCGGGAAAATCCCATTGTCTACGAATATGAATATCTCTTCGCGCTGCGCAACTTTACCTTCCTCGGGGTCACACTTTGCACCAGCTTTGCGGATGATAAGTCGATGGAGCAGGTCATAAACCAGTAAGTTGTGGCTTGGAATACATCCAAGAGAGAGAACAAGTGGGCATTCAAATGATGGAGGGACAACCATCTTAGGATGACGAGTTTCGAGTGCTGGGAACATCTGCTTATTTATATTTTTAAAGTGACATTCATTGTAGCCGGAAATATTGAGACTTGACAAACATTCCTCGATAGTAGTTCTAACAATTCATGCAATAGGAACAACACATCTGACCCTCTAATGGATACTTTTTTCATTTATGGGCTTTTGTGGGGGTGCCAATCTTTTTTTTAGGGCAATCGATAGGTACTGACGAAACCAACACATATCTGTTATAATTTTCTGGACGCCGCAGTTTTCGTCTGTTTGTGGGCGTTAGGGTAAGTGTGGCACTATGCTGAAAGAAACTTTCGCTGCGCAAGAATCTCTAGAATCCGCAAGCCTTATCCCAACTTTGTGGCTTTTATAGTTTCCGAGATTTCAGCGTTTATACGGACAAACGGACGTGGTTAGATCGACTCATATAAAGATAAAAAATATATATTTATGTATATTTCATAATCGGAAGCTTTTACTTCAACCTGTACTTTTCGACGAATCTAACATACCCCTCTTACGGTACGAGTACGGGTTTTATTAATTTCCTAAATTTCTAATATTTTTATTCCAGAACTTGGGGAGTGAACCCCAGGCAAGACCCAGAAAAGGCAAATTATTACAAGGAGTTTTTGCGCGTGCTTAACCACCTTCAGTACAAGACACTGGAGACCTTAAGGCCTTTCGAGAATGATACCAGTCTGGACAACTTAAATTACGTGAGTATACTTCTCAAACTCCAGGAAAGGATTCTTCCGATCGAAATCCCTGTTGTCATGGCGCCAATCATAACGGAGGCGGGTTTATGCCAAACCACCAGCCAACTAAACCGGTACGGCAATCCCTATGGCAAAATGTAAGTTTTCGTCTTTATATACAATAAATATATATAAAAACATGAGAGCTAGTCGACGGTCTCAATTATCAGATACCCGCTACTCAGCTAAGGGGAGTGTGAGGGAGTTGGAGATATGCAAGAAGCCAAGCGAAGGCTTCCAATATTGATATCGATTCCTTTATTTGCTTATAACTTTTTGATAGATGGTCTGATTTAAACAATTTTTAGTATGAAGACACATATTGATAATCAGAACAACATAGCATTTACACTTTTACAAAATGTGGGCGTTAAACAAGTTTTAACGTTATAGGAGCGTGGCACCCTGCTGAAATAAGCTTTCGCTGCGCAAGCTGTAGAATCTGCATGTCTGTCCGTATGAACGCCGACATCTCAAAAACTTTAAAAGCTAGAATGTTGGGATTAAGTCTACAGATTCTATGTAGGTGCTCGTTAGAAATGCAAGTTCGTTTCAGCAGTGTTTTGGCAAACCACGCGACTTAGAAATTCAATTACAGAAGAACCGTGCATTTCTGCGAAAAACATATTAACCTGGATTCTTAAGAAATCGCGGTTTAACAAGAGTAATTTTTGTTAGCGATTTATTGTTCTTGTCTATTACCCACTCCCTTTAGGTGAATAACCGGTACTTGAAAGTCAAGGCCATCGACAATAGCGTTCTTTCATGTTAAATATAAAATAGATATTGAACTTTCAAGTGCACTTCGCTTACTTCCTATGTCCGTTATATAAAAGTTTTAGTTGTTTTAATGTTAATTATTACACAGGTATTTAAAAGCATTTTTCTTGGCCCACGTCCAAACGCTAAAAAAAATCGGAAAGGATTTTACCTATAGATTCCTACCCAAAACTTGGAAACTTTTTATCACGTCACAGTTTTAAGAAATAGTGGTAAAAGTACGAAATGTTTGATTTTTGTACACTTCTAACGGCATTCCTAGCTTAGAACCAGACTGTAGCCGAAACTTTAGCTTCAGCAATGAACATCTCTCGTTTTTTGGGACCTGTACTTCTTAAATATACATACAAAATTTGGTACTTTGACACGATTTTCTTAAAACTGTTAAGTAATGAGAAGTTTCAAAGTTTGTGGTCGTAACCTTCAAGTAGCTTTTGATAATGGGTTTTTTGTCGACATATGATCAGTCTAGTTCAGAGTTTATTTTAATAGCATTTATCTCTTAGAGAAAACATGAAAGTTTCCGAAGTGAAAACCTGCGGCTTCTTCAGTGACTGCCAATTGATGCACAAGCCATTCAATACCATTAAGACCCACATGTATTTGGTGAGCAGTGAATAATATATTTTAGACATACATTAATATTACCCTAAGCCACTTTTTAGTACCTGCACGATGTCAACGAACTTATGCTACCCAACGATCTGCGCACCATCTTTTTTGATGCCAAAGTCCTAAGCTCCTATATTATCGGGGTGATGCTTCACTCGATATCGGCGGATAGAGAAGTGCGAAACTTACCGGTGGCATATCGCAAGTGTCGCTACGAAGACGAAAATGATCTTGAGTACTATAGTGTGAGTTTAACGTGTTTGACAAATGTGGCAAGTATGAAAAATCAATTCTTCCATAGCCGTATCATCCGAGCCTGTGTCGACTGGAGTGCCGAATTAAACATGCACTGAGCCTGTGCAACTGCAAGCCCTATTTCTATGTGGCAGCTCCAGAAGCTCCGGTTTGCAACATAACCGGAATGCTATGCCTGGCCCGCTCAAAGTGGCTGGAAAAACCTTGCGATTGCTTTCCATTGTGCCGGGAGAATACCTTCAACATTGTCCAAGTGGAGGAACAGAATGGGGTGGGTGTGGGAAACATGCGTCCTTTACGAGTATAACCTCTATACTATACTTTCATAAGGGCGATGACAAATACTCGGGCCAGGAGTTCGAGCGGACGTTGATCATTAACATGAAGCTCCCCAAGATGGGCATGAAGCGTCGGGTCGTTTTCAGCACGGATCAATTAATAATGTCTTTCGGCGGAGCCATCGGCCTCTTTCTCGGTGCCAGTTTCATGACCATCTACGGCCTGATCTATCTATTCCTCACTTTTATAGCTTATAAATGCAAACACAGCTTATTTAAAAAACAATGAATTTTATATGGGCATCCACTAAAAACATTAGGAAATTCCACCTAATCCTTAAAAATTTCTTTAATTACTAACAAAAAATAAGCTTAAATTCCTTTTTAACTTAATTATTTATCTTAAATTAAATTCTAATAATTTAAAATTATAACGTCAATACCTTGTTATGCATAGTAGGAAGGTAATGTTTTTATAAGATTTCATCAATACCTACAATGTTATTGTTAATAGGAGCACATATTATTGCAGGAAATAAATTTGCGAAAGAGGGCGAACACGCTGTCGTCTCGAAAGATGTCCAGGAAATATTTCCTATTCACTATTTCAATATTCCTTAGCTTTTTGGTCAAGTCTATCGACAGGAAGAAAGGGAACCTGACAGAAGACAATGTTCTTCGGCAGCAGCAATAGCTTTTGGCATACCATGATTGAAAAAAATCAATATTGGCATATGTTCTGGACTCAGTATATAAGGAATTCTGATGAGATCAAGAACAAGTTCATAAGCCCTCCGGGCAGGCAATCCTATCCTCCGTTCTTAGACCGTCATAAAATATAACCTGGATTTCAAGGGCAATATGAATGTTCCATATCTGGAGGGGCGTTACAAGTTGGTAGTGCAGATCGAGGCATTTGATAAGCGCAATGTCCATTTGCACGGAACTCCGCGTTACCGCTTAGAGGGTCTAATTGCGACAATTATATATGCATGCTGAACATACAACGAAACACCATTAAAGTTTATAATCGAGCACATCACAACACAACCAAGTCATGAGCATTGAGGGGATGGATTACAGGGATCGTTCGGGTTGCATGCGAAGAACTACCGTTCAGTTCATCATGAAGACCCAGAACAGCCAGCCGAAGCAAGCGGACAACTTTCACGACTGGACCGCCGAGCTGGGTCAGGAGTCCTCCATCCACGGCGTACCCTACATGGCCCGCAGGGATCTCCACTGGACCGAGCGCCTCTTCTGGATGGCCATAGTCCTGGCCTCGGCCTACTACGCCATTAACAGCTGCCTGGCCCAGTGGGATCGGTTCCGGGAAAATCCCATTGTCTACGAGTATGAATATCTCTTTGCGCTGCGCAACTTTACCTTCTTAGGGCTCACATTGTGCACCAGCTTTTCGGATGAGAAGTCGATGGAGCAGGTCATAAACCAGTGAGTTGTGGCTTAGTTTATTCAAGACACAGAGAATAGAAAATAGAACAAGGAAGGAAAACACAATTAGAATGCCGAGTTTAGAGTGTTTCTTAAATGGAATAGAAAATTTAGTATTATTGCAACATATGCTTATTGAAATTTTGAAAGGGAATATTGGAAATATTGAAGTTATACATTAAAACGGTCGCCTTCAAGTTTTTCTAACAACACATGCAATAGGAACCAATCTTGTTAAGCCTCTTAATGGAGACTAATTTACAAAACAATACCATACAATGATGATTAGTACAGAATTAATTGCGTAACTTTCTAATATTTTTAATCGAGAACTTGGGGAGTGGACTCCAGACAAGACCCAGAAAGGGCAAAGTACTACAAGGAGTTTCTGCGCGTGCTTAACCACCTTCAGTACAAGACACTGGAAAACTTAAGGCCATTCGAGAACGATACAAGTCTGGAGAACTTGAACTACGTGAGCATGCTGCTCAAACTTCAGGAGAAGATTCTTCCGAATGAAATCCCTATTCTCATGGCGCCGATCATAACGGAGGTGGGCTTATGCCAAACCACCAGCCAGCTAAATCGATACGGCAATCCCTACGGCAAAATGTAAGTTTACGTCTATACATACAATACATAAAAACATCTTTCTATTTAATATTAAAATAATACATTTTGAAATCATTTATCTCCTAGAGAAAACATGGAAGTTGCGGAAGTGCAAGAATGCGGCTTTTTCAGCGACTGCCACTTGATGCACAAGCCATTCAATAGCGTTAAGACCCACTTGTTTCTGGTGAGCAGTGGATAATATTCTTTTAAAAATATATTCATATTACCCTATGCGACTTCATAGTACCTGCACGATGTCAACGAACTTATGCTGCCCGACGATACACGCACAATCACTTTCGATGCCAAGGTCCTAAGCTCCTATGTTATCGGGCTGATGCTTCACTCGATATCGGCGGATAGAGAAGTGCGAAACTTACCGGTGGCATATCGCAAGTGTCGCTACGAAGACGAAAATGATCTTGAGTACTATAGTGTGAGTTTAACATGTTTGACAAATGTGGCAAGTCTGAAAAGTCGATTCTCCCATAGCCATATCATCCGAGCCTGTGTCGACTGGAGTGCCGAATTAAACATGCACTGAGCCTGTGCAACTGCAAGCCCTATTTCTATGTGGCAGCTCCAGAAGCTCCGGTTTGCAACATAACCGGAATGCTATGCCTGGCCCGCTCTAAGTGGCTGGAAAAACCTTGCGATTGCTTTCCACTGTGCCGGGAGAACACCTTTAACATTTTCCAAGAGGAGGAGCAGAGTGGGGTGAGTGTGGTGTGGTGTGGGATCCTTTATGATCCCAATTAATCTATACTTCCTTAAGGGCGATGAGAGCTACGCGGGCGAGCAATTCGAGCGGACGTTGATCATCAACATGAAGCTCCCCAAGATGGGCATGAAACGGCGGGTTGTTTTCAGCACGGATCAGTTGATAATGTCTTTTGGCGGAGCCATCGGCCTCTTTCTGGGTGCCAGCTTCATGACCATATACGGTCTGGTCTACCTATTCCTAACTTTTGTGGCTTATAAATGCAAACACCGCTTATATGATATTTAATGAAAAAACATTTGGAAATTCCACCTAATCTGAACTAACTTATTTTGTTACTAACAAAAAATGAGCTTAAAGTCCCATTTTACTTAATTATTTAGGATTTCATAATATTTTTAAGGATGTCTTTTATGTCTTTTAATATATTACCTATAAACCTAAAATGTTGTTAAGAGGAGCACATAACTTTTATATATAGTTTAAGTTTTTTCTTCATCCAACGTTTATTTTAAAGATTTAAAATCTTTTTATACATCCGTTAACAAAGTTTTTATATTTCCTTTAACATTTTTAACGATCTTGAATATATAAAAAACACTGCTTTGGGTACACTCGCTTACATACTATAAAAGATAAAATGCTAGAATATCAAGTACCACAAGTTTCTTTACTATAGCCACATTAACTTGCAAAATAAACATAAAGCTAATGAAATTGTTTTAAACTTAACGACATCAAAGTGGTTTGATGGTCTGGCCAAGCATCGTAAGCAAATTAAAGCGGCGGCAATTGTTGCAGGGCCACAACGTGGAAGCCACAAAAGTGGCAGCTTGGCAGTGAAGAAAGCGACACGTTCGGTTCAGCTGGGTTCAGAGAGCAGAAAAATTTCACTTTTGCGGAAAACTAACTCATAACCATCTGCAGTGCGTTTTCCAGCCGTTTTCTGTTACCATCATACACATTTCCTATTGTCAAATGTGACAATTTGTCGGCTTATCCGGCGATTGCTCGTCGTACGCTGGGGTGGTTTGCTTTTTTCGTATCTTCATCTCGCACACTTGCCACACTTGGCCCAAAGTGCAGTCAACGGAGCAAAGCGGTTGGGTAAAGTTAACAACCTTTGAGTTTGCTTAATTTTTGTATTTTTCGATTCGCCTGTGCCTGACTTGCGTGGATAAACTTTGGACCGGTCCAAACCAATCAAGAATTAGCCGCATTTAATTGCTAGCTAGAAGATCCCGTTAGGAAAAACTATTTCAGAAATGAAATTAACAAATAATGTAAGACTCTTCTCTGCTTCGACTTTACGCTTATTGAAGTCGCGGCCGTCCTTAAGAAGTTTCTGTTTCTGCCTCGGCATGGGCATAAATTTGTTCTGGTCTGTTGCCAAAAAATAAAAATGGTAGAAAAAAAAGAACAGAAAAACCCAAAGTCAGACGGAGAGGCAGCCAAGCAATTAAAATGAAACTAATTTTAGTGCCTGGGCTACTCTAAACACACAGCACAGGCACAGCCTTCTGCCTTTCGGCTTAACCTTTCACTAAACACCGAGGGAAAACTGCTCCCGCACTCTTTCCTGCGGCTAATTTGCATCTTTTGCAACTTTGTGACATTTGCAATGGCATTTGCCGGCTTTGTAAAAGTTGGCCAGCAGATCTGCCCACAAAAAAACAGCAACGCCGACAATCTTTTGCCATGAATCAGGCCAAAATCAGAGCGAAGCAAGGCAGCAAGAACTACCTGGTAAGGTGATCCAAACACAGACGTATGTAGGCATTCATATTGCACATGCTCTGCCAGTACAAGTATGTGTTTCTGCTCTAGTTCACACTCAGGTTGGAAAACAGAAAGATAAAAAAAAAACACAAAAAAGAGCAGCAACTTCTGCACAATTGCGTGCCGAACAATTTCCAAATTTCATAAATACAAAATGCACTCGCCCGCATCTGACAGCAGTCTTCTGCCTCCAAAGTTAGGTTCACACTCCCCGAAGGGAGTTCGCCGTGCATTTTCCTATTAATAGTGTGCTGCGGGCGGGTCGGCGGCCCGATTCATCCATCTCAACCTCCCCGTCGTTAGTTTATTTCGGTTTTATGCCCGCCGACAGACCCAAGACACAGCAGATTCCAACACCTGTCCATGAGGCGACGGTGAGCAGCTGGCAGGGGAAATACACAATCACAATGTGCTGAAAATGTAATTTTCCTCAGCATAGCAAATGAAGCAAAACCGACGGGAGATCTGGAGATCCCAAATGCAAATACGCTGGCAATCAACGAGAAAAAAATAGTTCTTGACACGAATATATTACAACTTTTCCAATGATGACTTAATGTTCCGCAGAGTTTTTAGGGCCATAATCAGTTATTATTATAAGATTTACTTGAAAGGAATATTTACTTTACAAGTCTGTAATAATGATAATAAAGGTTTTAGCATAAACTACCTTCCATATATTGAAACTTTTCCAATGATGGTTTAATATTCTATAGAGTTTTTAAGGCCAGTATGGTAGTCATTATAAGATTTAGTCAAAATGAATATTACTTTACAAGTCTGAAATAATAAATATAAAGGTTTTTGCCTTCCCTAAGCCAATATACCCTCCATAAAGGAATAGCAAAAGTTAAAGTTCATGTGCTTCTGCGGGTATTAAAATAGAATGTATTAAAAATAGAATGTAAGACATAAAGCGGAAAATAGTGAGTGGAGAGGTAGAAGCGAAGCAAAGTGAAGTGGATTGGATCTAAGAGGGAAGTTAATGTATTACCTGCTTAAAATTCGTGCCATTAAGTCACTAATCATGGACAGCTGTCAGTAGTCCCTCCGTTGGCATATATAGAAGTATATCATCCCATGCCATCATATCGTATCCCGGGAGCCCATCCATTCCCATCGATTCCCTCCTCCCCAGAAGCTTAGCCGGCGATAAAGATTTCCCCCACTCCCAGAAACCGTAGCACTCGGCATTAATTTACGCTTGTTAAATGAAATTGCCTGGCTGGACGTTATATAAGCCCAATAAACATTTTTGTATGAAAGTTAGTTGCCACAAATGGCGTCATGAGTCCCATAAATTATTGATAGCACACATTGGACACAGATAGCAATGAAATCAATTAAAGATAACGAAAATCAACAAAAAGTTCGCGAAGTAAAGTTTTGTATTTCGCCACAAGCTTTAGATAAATGCGAAAAATGTGGAGAATTTTTTGTGCGACTTTGTTTGATGCGATTTGGCAATTTTGTTTCTTGCCATTAAATCAATTAGAAGATAATTAAAAATAAAACTCTTTCAGCTTCAAATTAGAGAAACAAAAACCATTTTTATACTTCTGTTATTATTGTACAGAAAACATTTATTTTCCATTAATTTATCACTTTGTGTCAAAACTTAATTGCTATGCCTGGGCTTTTGTATGTCTGCTCTGACCTTGGCTGATGATATTTGTATACCATTATTTGCTGGGGGCTTTTGTTTACACACAAGAGAATTTCAGACCAATTCTGGAGGGTTCTTGACACACTAACAAACAATTGAGACACCGCGAGTGGGTTTATATAGTCGGAACCGTTTCAGCAAAAAAATGATTTCATTTTCTTGATTTTCTGTTATATGAGCTTTTACGTTTACGTTTCCCCAAAATGTTTCAAAGTTCCAAGAACCCCAAAACGGAACGTGTTTAAAATTACATTGAATTTCCTGAGAATGTATAGACCAGCAAGTGGGAAACTCACCTTCATGTCATTGATGATCTGCTGGAAGAGACTACCCAGCGCGGAGCTATCGCGTTCCAGACTTAGATCCATGTTTTCTTAGTATTTAGCTGGCTTATATATCGATATCGATTGCTTTTCGTTCGTCGTTCAACTATTCGGTTTCAGTTTATTTGGATGATTTTTGTTTTGGATTATTTATTTTGTTCCATTTTGAGTGGAAAAGACAAGCAAATCCGGTATTTCCTTGCGTTGAATGTGGAGATGATCTGGAAAGAGGAAAGAAATATTACAATAATTTATAAATAACCATGCTCCACAAACACTTCCGATCGAAATCTCCTTCTTATCCGCCATAAATCTTTAAAATTCTTTGCTGATGGGGCTAAACCAGACAACATCTCGTAAATAATCAGAATTGTAAAGCAGCGTCTTCCAAACAAGAAATTATGCTTAATTAGGCTTATTAAAATATGACATAGCTATGGAGAGTGTGGGGGAGTTCCCTCATGGCGTAGGAGCAATGTAAAACTTTATTTGGGGATCGTTGACCCAAATTGAGAGTGTTTTAAGTGCGTGAGTGTGTGGGGGGCTCCAGCTGATATGAGAGTCTTTTGATTTATTGGCCATGTAGTGGGGCTAATTGTTAATTATTAATTGATAATTGAATTGATATGTCTTGCAGCGACATACAGGAAGTAGCATACACAATTTACGGGCCTTGCAATCGAAACTCCGGACCTGAGGCCCATGCAAACGACGACAAAACGTCGGGGAAGTGCAATAGTTTTGACCCATTTGTGGGTTCGCCATACGTGACTAATTCTGTGCCGGTTTCCGTGGCTTTCGAAAGTGCAGATAAGCCGAGAAAATCATAAACGCGACTCCGGTCGCCAACAAGCCTTGGCAGCAATTAGAGAGGCGTCAAATTTACTAGTACACACTAGACTTATAACCTTCGACCAGGAGGAACTGGCCTAAGCTCGACTCGGATCTCGAGACTGCACTTGAGGCCGTATCTCTTCACTTCCATGCTTTTTCGGGCTGATTATGACATTGACGGCAACTCCGAGTGAAGTTCTTGGGTACAAATGTATACACAAGTGTTCGTTTTCACGTCTCTGAAGCTCCGCTGCATTCAGAAAGCGTTCACAATAGACACTCAAGCGTGGAGGAAGCAAAAGCCCACAAGTGATAAACAGCCTCGGCAACGAGAGCTGATTGCCTAGACTGCGTATCTTCGTCTATGTCTGCGTGAAGACGCAGAAGAAAGCATCAAAGAACAAGTTGGGGAAGGAGAAGAAAAGCCAAGTCGGCTTTTCCGACTATAAGATTTCCAGTACTGGTACACCCTAAGAACCAAAATCAGAGATTATTCTTTGTAATTTATTATTGTTCTCTAGCTTTTCTTTCTAAATCTATTAAAAATCATCATTAGTTTTACAACTGGAACACTGATTTAGAATATGAGCTTTCTAAAAAAAAAGTCCCAGTTGAACTCTACCCAGCACTGATTCAGAATATGAGCTTTTTGAAAAAGTCCCAGTTCAACTCTACCCAGGCATCATATCGTTTCTTATAAAAAAAAAAATTATTTTAAAAAACCATTTCCATTTTTGATATGCGTATTACTAACAAATAATGTTACAAATCGAGCACTGATTCAGAATATGAGCTTTCTAAAAAAAAGTCCCAGTTCAACTCTAACCTACAAAATAAACCATTCTTATAAAAAAAAATGTTTTAAAACAAAATTTCCCCTTTTTATATGCTTATATTAACAAATAATGTTAAAAATACCACAAATTTAAATTCTTCCATTCAAAAATACCAGCATTATACAAGTCATAACTTCCCTAAAAATCACCAGATGAGGACCATTTTTGGGATACAGATAGATGCTGACACCCCCTATAAGTACAGGGTATCAAAGAGGGCACAACAAACTCGCGGGGAAAAGACAGACGCACATTCACACACACAACAT